GGAGAGAGTGCTGTACATTCCCCCCCCCCACCAACAACCCCTGCCGGTACGAGACTCAAACCTGCAACCTTTGGGTTACGAGTCCGACTCTCTAACCTTTAGGACACGACTGCAAAAGCAGCGCGTTACAATGGTGAGGGAAAAGCTCCGTGTAATCACATCCATACAGTTTATGATCACAACAACAACAACGTTTGTCAGGCATCTACATTGTCATCTGAGGAGATTACAAAGATTAAACGAGTGTTAACTCTAAAACATGAAATGTGGAGTTATCTGCTTTTGCTATAAAAAAAACTTTTAATGTAAAAAAAAAAAAAAAACTTTCAATGAACTTTAATTTTGTAAATTACCTGCATTTGTTTAAGTTATTACTTAATCAAAACAACCCAACTACAGTTTGATTGATATTACTTGGAATGCACAATAAAAAAAAAAACGATTTGAGTTATCGGTTTTTGCAAATGAACTCTTCACACACACACACACACACACACACACACACACACACACACACACACATATATATATATATAAACCTAAAAAAAAATATTACTATCATTATTTTATTTTAGAATTATTATTTTTTTAAACCTAAACATTTATTAGTAGTAGTAGTACTAAGTGTAAATAATAATGCTCTCTAAATAAAAGGTCAATGTGACTTCAAATGTCAGTTTCTAGAACTAACAAAACGCTACACCCTTCCTTTATCTGTGCCTCTCTAACACTCTACAGTAGCTCTTATCAAAGCCAGGCTGGTTAGGAGAACATAGAAGACAACCACTAACTGGGTGAAGCCATAGAAAGCCCACTAAGAATCACGTTCACAAGCGAGAGAAAACCAACAGTGACATCTAACATAGCGTGTAGGACCACTGGCACTTTTTATCTATAATAAATGACTTTTTATAATGAAGGCACTAGATTGAAGGCATTTTAATGATATCAAATATAGATTTTTCTCTAAAGGAGCTAGTTTAGCCCTTTAGATGTGGAATATGTAGGAATAAAAGCAGGACCCTCACCATGCCAGATGGCTGAATTGAGAGTCGGTGGAGGCAGCGAAGACCTCGCAGCCGATTTTACGAAACTCAGCGGCCCGTTCGCTGAACGCGATGATCTCGGTAGGACACACGAAGGTGAAATCGAGTGGATAGAAGAACAACACGACATACTTCCCTAAAGGAGAAATGGAGGGAAAATAAAGATGAAGTGAAAACAGGTCACACCTGTAACCCAGTTAGTGGGTTTGATGGCTAGTATCGTGATGCAATGGAAAGCAAAAGTAGGTTAGAATGACATTTCAAATACTCTCCATCTACAAAACACAGTGTGTGGAGCGTCTGATGCTCACCTCTGTAGTCGGAGAGCTGAACGTCTTTAAACTGTCCGTCTATCACAGCTGTGGCCTTGAACTGAGGAGCAGGCTGACCGATCTTAGCGTTTCCAGAAGACATCTTGAAGATTGCTCGTCACTGTTGACCAAAGAAATCCAAGAACATCAGGAATATTATTATTATTGCTGCTACTTACACCACACATTTAATTACAAATTTAAAAACTTTTTTTAATTAATTGCAGAAAAAAAAAAAAACTTTTTTCTTGTGGTACCATATATATTTATTTATTTATTTATTCATTCCGCGTTAAGCTGTGTCAAACAGTTGCTACAATATGATGCAATCTGCAAGAGAACAGCGCCGGCGTTTTCCACGCGCTCTTTTGTTCAGTAATAATCAGCAAAAATACGCATTAAGCATTTGTGCATGTAAATAACCATTAAGATTTTAGGCAAAAGAGTACTATGTTGACATTAAAAACGTACCTTTCGTTCCGTGATGTGGAAGCGAAACTTCACTTTCCCTTAATGCACAGAAAGCTCCAGCCGCGCGACCTGCTGCAAAACTCAACGTAAAGAGGGAGGAGCCTCGCTTTATGCATTTCCTTTACAATTTCAAGCCATATTTTGCGTTTTAGTTGTATGGCAGATTCCAGTTTGGATACGATTTCAGAAACAAAACAGTGCATTTAGATGCACATGATGTCTTGTATTTTTTGGTTTTGACCTGCATACATATCAGAAAATTAAAAATACATAAAAAAAAAAAAGTACATCCACAACATGAGAACAAACCGCACAAAAAGCATATGCATAGTGTTTTGCAATGCTAACCTCAAGTTTATACTTAATCAATGACAATTCATCACTCTTAACCTCTGTTTATAATTTATTGCTCACCTCTCTATTCGTGTTTTTGTCTTATACATTTCTGCAATCGCGTAAATGCAAATAAACACTGAATTATAAAACATCCCCTGAACTCCATTTCCCACAAACCACTGCGACAGAGAGTTGTGGAGGCACACATTTAAACGCGTTCGCTGCATGGTTTTAGACATTAGCTGTGTTTTTAAATAGGTTTCAGTGTGCGTCGTATTTTTCTATGCAGTAATAAATACTCCTTGTCCTTCCAGTATTGTCGGTCAAAGGTCACGCTGTCCTGTCACACTCCCGCCAATTCTGTATTTCCGGTTGAGGCGCGCTGCAAACACACACAGGTTCGTGCAAGTTTGTTTATGCAGGAACTTTTGCACACTTTAATGGTTAAGCACACTGTTCTATGATGCTTTTGAATACCCTGTTAGTTAGTTAATAAGAGTGAATAAGCCTCATGTTTTCTCCACTCATTGTTCGTACTATTTTGACTATAAATTATTTGTATGATCTCGTATTATTGATTGATTTCAGTATCAGATGCGGGAGAAAATGTGTTGTGGGTCATTTCTGTTAGAGACGTGCCTTTTAAATTCTTTATTTTATACAGGGAATAATAATAATACATGTGTTGTGATTTATGGATATGTTTTTATATGTTTAGAAACATGCTCTGGTCGAATACTATTCAATATAACTTCATTTTTGCACAATAGCAAGATATTTCTTATTATCAATGTTGAAAAAAATTGTGCTGCTTATTAATATTTTTGTGAAACCCGTTTTTTTCAGAGTCCTTTGATGAATATAAGGTTCCAAAGGAAAACATTTATTTGAAATGGAAAGCTTTTATTTTGTAACCAATTTCCATAATAAAGGACGGAATGATAGAGCTACATTTTAGTGGGTTGTTAGCTTGAAGCTTAATTTTATTTATTATTGTTTGTAATGTTATTAATGATATTCATTTAATAATTTTTGTGATATGCATTTTTGTAAAGCTTAAATTAAGCTTAAAATTCATACCTATGTTTACTTAATTGTAATATATTTTGTTAAAAAAGTTGTCATTTTTTATCCAAATGATTAGACATGGATCTGAGTGATTTTGAGGTGGATAACTCTGTGAGTTGCCGCTTGTCCTCGTCCACCCCGGATGTGTGCAAGACAGAGGACTGCTGTCTGGGCATCGATGAGGCAGGCAGGGGTCCTGTACTGGGTGAGTGTCGTCCTCATTAGACGAGTATAACTTATAAACTGGAGTATAAATTTGATATGCTGTATTTCAGGACCCATGGTGTATGGGATATGCTTCTGTCCTGTATCCAGAAAGGAAGACCTGAAGAATTTGAAAGTGGCAGGTTGGTTATACAGAGCAAATCTTGACAGGAGATCAGATTCGGTGGAAATCTGCAGTATTTTTGTCACATGTTTAGACTCGAAGACGCTGACGGAGGCAGAGCGAGAGAACCTGTTTCTGAAGATCGATGAGGCCAAAGATTTTGTAGGCTGGGCCCTTCAGATCCTCTCGCCGAACACCATTTCCACCAGCATGCTGCAGAGGTACATGCACACATGATTTCACTGCATGCATGCCAAGGCTGGTGATTAGAGTCGAGAGAATCTTTTAAACCTGTTGTGCTTTTACTTTCAGAGCAAAATACAATCTGAATGCGCTGTCACATGATGCAGCGATTGGTCTGGTGCAGTACGCCCTGGACTGTGGGGTGCAGCTCAAAGAGGTACAAACCAACATCTGTATGATAGAGAGCAGATCTGGTGATGAAGCCGTTGCGACGTGTCTTTTTAAAAAATGTTTTTATAAATTGTATATATTTTTTATTATTTATTGTCCTGCTTTTTATTATTTTATTATTATAATTTTCTATCAGTTTTTATAATGCCGTGTTTTTCATACCTCTCAGGTGTTTGTGGATACAGTAGGTCCTGCAGAGAAGTATCAGGAGAAGCTCTCCCAGCGGTTCCCGGGGGTGGAGGTCACCGTCCGTCCCAAAGCTGATTCTCTCTTCCCCATCGTCAGCGCTGCCAGCATCTGTGCCAAGGTAATGGCTCCTTCAGAGGTGGATGATATAAGGGGAATGTCAGTTATTAGAGGAAAAATATCTGCTAAAACTATAAGAAAGATATATGCATATGATTAGATTTTTTAATATATTTTTGACTAATGTGTTCTCTTTGTAGGTGGCTAGAGACCATGCTGTCAAATCCTGGAAATTTGCAGAAGATTTGGGTGCCGTGGACACCGATTATGGCTCTGGGTATCCTAATGGTCAGATTATTTCATATAAGATTCCTTCCATTTCCATACAAGTGTTTTTATTTAATTAATTTTTTTTACAATTAAAGGTAGACTAATCATATTTAGATATTTTTAAATGAGCACTAGTGTCAATTACTGCTGTTTTTCTGGCACATATATACTACTGTTCAAAAGTTTGGGGTCATCAAGGTTTTTATTTTATTATGTAATACTTTTAGTCAGCAGGAACGCATTAAATTGATCAAAAATGATTGTAAAGACATTTATAATGTAACAAAAAATAAATGCTAATCTATTCCAAATAAATGCTTTCTATTCAACAAAGGATTCTAAAAAACAGATTCTAAATTTCACAAAAAGACGAAGCAGCACAACTTGTTTTCAACATTGATAATTAGAAATGTTTCTTGAGCAGCAAATCAGCATATTAGAGTGAGTTTTGAAGTTATCGTGGCACTGAAGACTGGAATAATGATGCTGACAATATATTCATAGAAAACACTTCTTTTAAATTGTAAAAATATTTCACAATATGACAGTATTTTGGATCAATTAAATTCAGCCATGGTGAGCAGAAGAGACTTCTTTCAAAAACATTAAAAAAAAATGTATTTTTACTTTAAATTTTCAGTACTAGGCTCAAAGTAAATATTATGATTTATTCTGTGTGTGTTTAGATCCCAAAACTAAGAGCTGGCTGCTGAAGTTTCTGGACCCAGTGTTTGGTTATCCTCAGTTTGTGAGGTTCAGCTGGAGCACAGCGCAGACGCTCATCGACAGTAAAGCTGTTGCTGTTCACTGGTGAGTCTGACAGCAGAGGCCGCTGCCTTTTCAGATTCAGAAAACATTCAGACCGGCTGCACTTTCATTTTCTTTAGTGCTTACACATCAAATGTTATATCCAAAAATATTTTTTCTGTTAGTACTTGTGCATTTATATATTAATATTAAGTGTGTTTGTTTGTGTGTAGGGACGATGATGAGGAAGATGGAGAAAAAGCCGCTGCTCGTCAGAATAACACCTCAGTGCTGTCGTATTTCAGCCGCAGCAAACCGTCAGAGCTCGCACGCACACGAGACACACACCGCTTTTTCACTGAGCGCAAGCTACAGAGCATCAACACACTCTGAACACAAACACTGTCCAGCAATGAGAGAAGCACTCAAACATATCACAAAATACACGTCAACTGGATATGTCCAACGTATATCGCAAATAATGAACTGTGCATGAACCAGAATGTATTATATTCTCATTTGTGTTTTTTAATGGCGTGTATTCTTCATTTCTGGATGTAAAATCAATAAAATGTTTTCATTTTCATATCTTTTTTTGAATGTGTCTTAGATTTTTAAACAATGTTTTCAGAAGTGGTACAAAACTGGCCCAGAATATGAGTGATTCCATATGTCTGTCTTACTGAAAACTGCCTAGCAACCACTCCGAACATGTTTAACTTAAAGTATTTGCAGGGTTGTTGCAGTACAGGGCTGCGTTTCCCAAAAGCATTGTAAGCTTAAGTTGATCTTCGAACCATTGTCACCAATGGAGCTACGATGGGCTAACTTAGGTTTGTGATGCTTTTGGAAAACGAAGCCTAGATTAGTTTACCTGTCTTAGGTTTTTAATTTTTTTTTAAACCTACACGCTTTTGTGCTTGACTCGGATGTTTCTATCACTCCGCGACAGCAGGTGGCGCAACTGTTTCACAACAATAAACCAAAGGAGGAAGAAGCCTAGCGGCAGTTTCCGCTTGAATTCAGCAGTGTGGTGAGTTTGTTTGAGGCGATTCATTCAGTTTTAATAATATGTTTAGTACATTATTTGTACGTTTATAATTTAGAAAAGCAGCACTCGGCGATATTAACAATAGTCTGTACTAACGTGCAATAAGTGTGTAGTTGTTCACGCTAACTGCTCACTGTATTCATTGTGCCTTTCTCTGTATTTTAGTGTGGTTTTACCTGAGATTATTAATCATGGACATACGACCGAATCACACCATCTATATCAACAATGTTAACGATAAGATCAAGAAAGAAGGTGAAGTCTTAGACATGTTTGCTCTTTTTTTCTCTCTCTCTCCCCCTTTGACCATTAAACTATATAATTGATATGATTGTGAAACTTTTTGTGCAGTTTTTTTAATGGGAGAGTAAAAATATTTTTAAAACGTACACCGTTCAAACTAGGCTGCTTATGTTGAAGTGTTTGGGATGTGGCTTTTAATGATGAGACCTTTTTTGTAATCAGGCTCTCAAAAAGTATATAACAATTTGGATATAGATTTATCGGCCAACATATCGGTTATCGGCTTTCAAAAATAAAGAATTATCGGTTATCGGTATCGGCCAAAATTTTCATATCGGTGCATCCCTAGTTTACACTTTACAAAGCATTAGAAAGGAACACATTTCTCAGTCCCTAATCTTAGCTTGTACTTGTAGCGAATCCAGTATGCAAAAACCGACTCCGATCTGATCTCTAAGACGAGAGGCACGTATGGAGATAAAGAAAAGAAGAAAGAGAAGAAAAGGAAAGCTCAGGAACAGGCTGCCAATTTCAACACGAAACCAGCGGTGAGTTGAAATGCATGTTTGCGGAGGCATTGTGATTAGAAAATGATATTGACGACCTAGTTGTGGTGAAATGTACATTTAAAGAAAACCAGATCAACCGAGTAAATTTTGCTTAAAAATGTTTGACTTTTTTTTTTTTCTTTTCCCTGCAGGGAGCAGTAAACACACAGCCTCCTCCACCTGCCACAGTCCAGGTATGTCACACAACTTACGTGCTTATTTTGTGATTTGATTTTTTGTATTTTTAAAAAAATGCATTTTGTTTATGTACCTAATAATAAATGATTTTATATTGTTTTAGGTCCCTGACAACCCACCAAATTATATTCTGTTCCTGAATAATCTCCCAGAAGAAACCAACGAGATGATGCTCTCCATGTTATTCAACCAGTAAGTTTTCAATATAGTAAACCAGTAAACATTTGAAAAAAGTAAATGTTTTGGTAATAAATGCAAAATGGTTGTCTATAACCTCTTTTTATGTATTGTTATGGTGATGTTTTTTTTTTAATGCAGAGAACGTTTAACTTGAACACTTTCAATCTACTTTGTTTCCCCTTTTGATTAAAAATGCATAAATATTGATAGATTTATATATCACCCAGCTTTTTCAGCAAGATTGTCTCCTCAGATTTTTTACTCCCCATCTTGTTCCATCTTTTCAGGTTTCCAGGGTTTAAAGAAGTGCGCCTGGTCCCTGGAAAGCATGACATTGCGTTTGTGGAGTTTGAGAGCGAGGCTCAAGCTGGAGTAGCGAAAGATGCTCTGCAGGGATTCAGAATCACAGCCACGTGTGCCATGAAAATCACATATGCCAAAAAGTGACCTGGCTCACACTTACTGGACTGTAACTGAGGCTTTGATCAGTGGATCCTCACTTCTGATTTGTTTGTCTTTACATTCAAACTCTTTATTTTTTTTTTAAACAACGTTTGTTCAGTGACTGTTTAGTATTGTTTTTCCTATTTTTTTTTTTTGTATGGGAATTATTTGGTCACAGGACTTTCCAGGACAGGCCTTTATTTTGTAATGTGGACTAATAAAATTAGCAGCTAAAATAAATGTCCCATATTTTTATGACATTTAGTTTTCTGCTCGAGCTTAAAAGAACAGTTCCCAAAAATAAGGAGCTATTTAATGGCGCTTTTCCACTGCGTGGTACGACTCGACTCTGCTCGCGTTTCCACTGCAGTTCATTACCACTTTAGAGTGGGCGGGATTATTCACATGTCGGTAGTTGCGCCGCCTATACTCCTGAAAAACTTTAATCCCCCGTCGCCCCATCAAGTTCTCGCTGGATCCACTCATCTGCTATCAATGAGAGGAACGTCTGTACTTCCTCAACAGACAACGAAACAGCTGCTTTTTGGTTGTTAAAAAAAGGTGTGCACGTTCAAAACAGTTGCGTTCAATCCTTCGCTGGCTGTGCTGATTTAAATCTAGCGGTTCTGTTGTGTTCAGTGACGCAGGTCGAGACGATTCTCTCCGGCCAATCAGTGATCAGCAGAGTTTACACGTCACGTTTTGGTAACGGTACGGTTCACTTGGAACCTCAACCGAGGTGGTACTAAAACAAGTACCAGGTATTGTACCTAGTGGAAAGGTACAATACCATTTTTAGATGCACCTTCATAATTGTATGACTTGAGATCAGTTGTAAACTGTCAGGCATGAACACTGTACCTGACAAAAGGACTGAAAGAATTGGTTTGGCACAGAATAGTGTAACACCCATTTGCGTCAGCACTCACGGCTCTGTAAATGTTCTGGGTGCAACTCTCTTATGAATCTGGGCAGAGGCTGACAGGTGCATCAATAACAGCAGCGTGATACAACATTGACAGAAACTGGTTACACCATTCTGCATTTTCATTAAGTCTGTATCAAATGTGTTTTGTGTTTTACATCTGTTTTGATATTTTAATTGCAAATTATCACAAAGCAGCAGAATGTTCACAGCAGATTAAATCGGTCATGTTTATATTTTGGCAGAGACTGGTCTCATCGATTACACAGCTAGGGATCGGACCACCGAGGCCACTGACATTTTCAGACATGCTGCTTTTAAAATGTCATGATGACAGGTTTGCATAATAACTGACAGACACTATCAAATTAGTCCCAGCACATAATGACCCTCTACTTAAGCGTCATTTCAATACATAAATATAGAATAGCACAGGAGAAAAAAGCTCCATTAAAACTTTCTGATAAGTGTGTTGAATGGACATGAAAAATGTTTTGGCACAGAGATTTTTCAACAGGCAAATTTAACTGGGAAGCTTTAATGGTAAGGATGAGCAGACCTTTTGTTCCACAGTTCTCACTAGAGACCCTTGCATCCACTCATATGCAAGAGCCAATGGAAGGAATGAGAAATATGAAACCGACTAAATCAATACCTCAAACTGAGTTATTGCTCTCCTTTGAAGTACAGGAATTAATTTCTCAACAGCCAAGAAGTGAAAACAGGTATTCAAGAAATTCTTGCAGCTCACTCTCTCTGCATCATTTAATGAGGAAAAGATGCCACTGCAGCCAGCCAGAACCTTATAGCAATGCCACTGCAACCACCCAGAACAATAAGGTCATTTCACAAAATCGGTGCCTTTTCCACTTGGAAGAATTAAAAAATAAAACGTTTAATCAACACTCCATGTAACAAATATCCATGAAATGAAGACACCTTAAAATGACAAGAAATTGTATTGCGCCATGTCAGGCTATGTAATTTATTCTTTTATGACTATTTTTCTACCTCATGTTTTGGTATTTTTGTCAACCCTGTTACTAGATACTATCGTTTAAATAGAAGTATGTGATCGTTTTCACATATATGAGGAGCATTTGAGTTCCTCTTTTCACTGGGATTGTTTCAAATTTTGGATTTTTTAATATATATTTTTATATTTGTCATTTAGATGACCAAGAACATCCTAATTTTGGAGGGTGACCACATGTCAATTAGGAAAAATATATATTTTCACAAGAGAGACAATAAAAAAGGACTTTGTCCAAAATAAAATATAAAGTTACAATGGTAAAACCTGGACGGCTGTATCAAATATGATGTTCTACTATTTTTATTAAATTAATGACAGTAACAGGATTGATGTCATAGTCTCAGGACTGACCAGAGTAACAGGGATGACAGGACTACACATTCTTCAGCACACTGCACATATTTGTTTACATAATACTGTACAGTTTTATGATTTTAAATGGCATTATATTGTTTTGCACTTACTTAGCAACAGTCAATGTTTCATTTGAAGTCAGTTCATTGTTGATTTAGCACATTACATTTCTAAGAGATCTAATGTTTTAAGGGTATTGTAATTAGATCATGTGCCCATCTGTTTGTCTGTGTCCCCTCACAGAACTTCAAATATACTGATCTGGTTCAATTATTAGGCAAGGAAGATGATCAGATCTTGGTCTTTCTGTGATCATCTGAAACCCAACCAAGATCTTGACTTTCTTGAACATTGCAAGACTGCGGTGAAGGTCTGCAGTCACCTTGCTGCTCTTGTTTGTAATTGAATTTACATAGATGCATTATTGACAATGAGTTTTATTGAGACTGATCATCCTATCCTGGTCATTAATTATAACAGTAATAGAAACAATATCAATAAAACAAACTAAAATGTAACTATGTGTACTGCGTTAGGTTAACCGGGACTTGTCATTTGCACTTATATATTGCTGCTCTTTTTTTAGTTTTGACTGCTTTTATTGTCATTTGTAAGTCACTTTAGATAAAAGCGTCTGCTAAATGACTAAATGTAAATGTAACTCATGCTCATATGCCACTGAATGATATAGGCATTAGCTCAAAATTACACCCTAATATATGTCATCCCTGTTAACC